ATCTGTTGTAATCACAAACGGCTTTTACATCCCAGGAACGTACCTATGCTGAACCAGCCCCCACTGAGCCCAAGGCACAGTCCCCGAAGTCTGAGTTTCCAAGAGGCTGGACAGCTGTTAAGCATATACCTAACGTTAACCCTGAGTATGCTGGATGTTCTACCGCAAGCCAGTCAATTAAACAATTTATCATTAGCTCTGTTTCCAATGTTTACATATAATGTAGCGAATATAAAGATTGGGGGAGGGGATAAATGTTTGCAACCTGTGTTTGCTTTGTTGCAGAAAATGCTGTTTCTAACGATCATATTAAGGTCTCATGTGTCCGGCTGTTGGTGTTCTGGATGGGATGTGTGTCCGATGGTCGTCCCAGATAACCCATGTTGTTTGATGTTCACTTCAGGAGTTACTGTGGAGGAAACACAAAGATCTGTACTGTAAGTCAGATAAGTATGAAATTGGTCTTTTATTTAAATCGGTGCAGACAAAAATTTAAAAAAAATGGTGAGATTCTCCAAAAGACATTCAACCTTGGGAAGTTCTGTCAAGAATTGTTAGAAAGGGGGCGTTATGTTCAGCAGAGTACAGAATGTTTCCTACAATTATGAACTAGACACCAGGGAAACAGGTTTGGACAAACTGACAGGGCAAAAATAATTCCACCAACGGCCGGCCTTACACAACACGGCGTGGCTCAACTACAAGGCAGAATAAATCGTCTTTCCTCTATAGAATCTTATCCACATCTACATTTCAGTAACCACCACGTCTTGGTAAGTTGGAAAACAATGAAGGGACAATTTTGGGACACAAATCGACCAGCCATCGCCGCACCCACCTCACACCACCGCCCTTCCTCTCCAACTGAAGCTGATACGGTGTACGACGGCATATTCTGTATTCATCCGCTCCGGACAAGTAATTGCTGTATACCAACGGGGCTATTATACATAAATGTTGTAAACAAACATGGTTATAGTATCTTGTTAATGGGCAGATAATGTCGGGAAATTATGCCAAAAGTTAAAAAAAAACGAACACTTATAACCATGTCCTTGTTATAACCAGATGCTGCGAACTTGTCACGTACTACTTTCTGGTGGCACATGTGTACATTCTGTCTGAGGTGCATGTGCGGTGGCGTGGTCTAGCGAGGCTCACTTGGGGTTTGTCTGTAAATAGTATCAGTCACAAGTTCAAACTCCTACGGTATGGGGCATACAATAAATTCGGCCATCCTTTTTTACACCTTTTTGAGATCCCTTAATGCACAATGTACTAGAAAAAAAGGCATATTTAAAGCTGTGAGTAGATTAATATTTTTATTTTCTCGTCGAGGTATATTCATAAAATCTACTACCTAACCCTGAATCCTGAATGTGCAAGATGGAAAAATACCCCTTCATCTGCGCGAATACCTTCCTCGTCTACTACCTTCATTTTGTATATAGACTCCAAGACTGCCAAGCCAACCTTAGACAGGTAGAAGAAACTTCCTCAGGGATGTGTTTGAGACTATGTTGCTTCAACAATTAAGGAAGTATTCCTACCGGCCTAACGAACGGTAGATACAAATAAGCTTCGATCACAACGGACAACTTCACAATCATCACAGCTGAAGAAAAATACAATTTATAGATACACTTCACCCTGACAGTCACCGGAGTCACATCAGGCATACCCTCAAGGTGAGAAGACGGGATGAGGAGACGAGAAAGGTAATAAGTTCCGAAGATGGAAAAGGCCATCCGGCATTTGCGGACAAGGAGGTAAGAATCATTCATCATTTATTTCTATCGGACGGTCGTAAGTTTAAATCTAAGAACTTACTATCTTCGTACAATAATCGTATCTAACGGAAGCGTCCGGCTGTTCGTCGTTGGAACAGCCGATTCCGTTCGTGTGTCTTCTAACAATTTAATCACCTGCGTAGACAGTGTAGGTGCCGCCATTACTTTTTTTAGGGGGGGGGATCTGGACCGCCCGCTGTAGTGCACT